ATGTGTCCCCAGTGTCCCCACCGTCCCCAGTGTCCCCCATGTCCCCAATGTCCCCCCATGTCCCCAATGTCCCCAGTGTCCCCAACATCCCCATGTCCCCAGTGTCCCCAACATCCCCCATGTCCCCTGTGTCCTCCATGTCCCCAACATCGCCCATGTCCCTAATGTCCCCCATGTCCCCAGTGTCCCCAACGTCCCCCGTGTCCCCAGGCAGGTGCCGCTTCGCCCTGGGCATGGAGGACGGCTCCATCCCCGACAGCCGCCTCTCGGCCTCCAGCGCCTGGTCCGACTCCACCGCCGCCCGCCACGGCCGGTGAGCTCAGTACGCACCAGTACACACCAGTACACACCAGTATGGCTCAGTACCCCCCTGCCCCTCATCCAGCATCACCTCCCAGACCCCCGCCAGTGTCCCCACGGTGTCCCCAGCCCAGATCCACCACTGCCCACTGTGCCCAAGGAGTCCCAGTATGGCCCAGTGTCGCCCCCCAGTTCTGTCCTGTGTTACCCAGGGTCCCCTGGGTCTCCCCAGGTCCCTCCATCCTCCTGGGTATCCCCATGTCCCCAGGTTGTCCCCATGTCCCTGGGTGTCCCCACAATGTCCTTGTGTTCCCCCAGGTGTCCCCATGTCCCTTGGATGTCCCCATGATGTCCCCATGTCCTCCAAGTGTCCCCATGTCCCTTGGGTGTCCCCATGATGTCCCCATGTTCTCCAAGGGTCCCCACATCCCTAGGATGTCCCCATGTCCCCTGCGTGTCCCCTAGGATGTCTCCATGTCCTCCAAGTGTCTCCATGTCCCTGGGTGTCCCCCAGTGTCCCTTGGGTGTCCCCATGTTGCCCAGGTGTCTCCATGTCCCCTGGGTGTCTCCATGATGTTCCCATGTCCTCCAAGGGTCCCCATGTCCCTGGGTGTCCCTAGGATGTCCCCATATCCCCTGCGTGTCCCCAGGTGTCCCCCAGTGTCCCCATGATGTCCCCATGTCCTCCAAGTGTCCCCCTGTCCCTGGGTGTCCCTAGGATGTCCCCATGTCCCCAGCTTGGGCCACAGCGATGGGGACAGCACCCGGTCCCCCCAGGTGTCCCAGGTGTCCCCAGGAGGTCCCCGTGTCCCCAGGCTGGGTCGCAGCGATGGAGATGGCGCCTGGTGTCCCGCGGGCCCTGTCTTCCCCGAGGAGGAGGAGTTCCTGGAGGTGGACCTGGGTGGGCTGCACGTGGTGACGCTGGTGGGGACACAGGGACGTCATGCCGGTGGCCATGGCAGGGAGTTTGCCCGCGCCTACCGGCTGCGCTACAGCCGCGACCGTCACCGCTGGCTGCGCTGGCGCGACCGGTGGGGCGCTGAGGTGACCGGGGACCTTGGGGGGACCTTGGGGATGTCGGGGTGCTGAGGTGCAAGGTTCCCACCTTGGGGAAGTTGGGACACTGAGGTGACTGGGGATCTTGGGGACCTTGGGGACTTTGGGATGCTGAGGTGACTGGGGACCTTGGGGATGTTTGGGTGCTGAGGTGACTGGGGAACTTGGGGACACCTTGGGGATGTTGGGGCACTGAGGTGACCAGGGACCTTGAGGACCATGGGGATATTGGGGCGCCAAGGTGATGGGGGACCTTGGGGACCTTGGGGATATTGGGGCGCCGAGGTGATGGGAGCCGTGGGGATATTGGGGTGCTGAGGTGATGGGGGACCTTGGGGACCTTGGGGATATTGGGGCGCTGAGGTGACCAAGGATCTTGGGGACCTTGGGAACCTTGGGGTGCTGAGGTGACCAGGGACCTTGGGGACACCTTGGGGACCTTGAGGTGCTGAGGTGACCAGGGATCTTGGGGTGCTGAGATGATGGGGGACCTTGGGGACACCTTGGGGACCTTGGGCTGCTGAGGGGGCCAAGGACCTTGGGGATGTTGGGATCCTGATCCCCGGGATCTCTGGGAGGGGACTGGGATGTGGAAGGGGACAGTGGGGGATCCTGGGGGATTCCTGGGGACACTGGGATCCATGGGGGGTGGTGGGACCCCTGGGGATCCCTGGGAGGTTCCTGGGGATCCCTGGCAGGGCACAGGGATCTCAGAGGACAATGGGATCCTTGGGAGATCCTGGGGTTAAGGGGATCCATGGGGATCCCTAGGGATTGCTGGGGATACTGGGATCCAGGGGGGGTTTTTTGGATTCCTGGGGATCCCTGAGAGATTCCTGGGGATCCCTGGGAGGTTCCTGGGGATCCCTGGGAGGGCACTGGGATCTCAGGGGACAATGGGATCCTTGGGAGATCCTGGGGGTTAAGGGGATCCCCAGGGATCACTGGGGACACTGGGACCTGGGGGGAGGTTGTTTGGATTCCTGGGGATCCCTGGGAGGGGAGTGGGACCACGGGGGACAATGGGATCCCTAGGGATTACTGCGGTTACTGGGATCCAGGGGGGGGGGGCGGGCGGAGCCCC